ATAGAGTGAGTCCAAGTAAGTCTGTGCTCAGGCCCTTTAAGAGGAGTGCCTGGTGCTCCAGAAGCTCTCCATCTCATGCAGTCACCATCCAGGCTAGTTTTTACAGTCATATGTTATAGGGATTTCTCTTTCCAGCACTGAAATCCTGGACTGGGGGTTCTGGTGTGGAGCTGGGACCCCTGGCTCCTCAGAGGGGAACCTCAATAGCCTCAATAGCCCTACCAATTTTTTACTACCAGACATGTGTGTGGGACTAGCCCTTTCCATGTCTACCAGTCTCAATGTGGCTGCTTCTTTATGTCCTTAGTTGTAGGACTTCTGTTTACTAGATTTCAGGTGGTACTGAATGATTCTTGTTCTGTAGTTTAGTTATAATTTTGATGTGATTGTGGGAGGTTCCAAGTACCTCATTCACTCATGCTACCAACTTGACCAGAACTCCCCAAGTCTAGAAAGTCTTGCTTAGGAATTCACAACTTTCTCTTCTTCCAAAGCATCTCTCCTTCATATGTTCACTCAATTCATTCAAGCCCAATAATTAATTTACTACAATAAAAAAAAATCTTGGGGTGTATATTATATACAGTTTGAATAAATTACAGAGGGTCTATCATACTATTCCAGTAGCTTCATCAGATTAACGATATGAATTTGTCACTTTTGATTTGCATCTCTCAGATGATTAGTGACTGAGCATGTTTTCATATATCTCTTGCCCTTCTGTATGTATGCTTTCTAAAAGAGTCTATTTAGGTCCTTTGCCCATTTTTTTGATTGAATTGTTTATCTTCCTTTTGTTAAATTGTATGAGTTGCTTATAAATTTTGGAGATTAAACCCTTATCGAAGATAACATTGGAAAATATGTTCTCCCCTGCAGTGGGCTTTCTTGTTGTTTTGTTGATGGTTTCTTTCTCTGTGCAGAAACTTTTTATTTTGATGTAGTCCCATTTGTTTATTTTCTCCTTAGTTTCCATTGCCCTAGGAGCTGTATTGGTAAAGATATTGCTACGACATATGTCTGATATTTTACTGCCTATGGCTTCTTCTAAGATTTTTATGGTTCCCCATCTTTCGTTTAAGTCCTTTATCCATTTTGGGTTTATTTTTGTGTATGTTGTAAGTCGGTGGTCTGGTTTCGTTGTTTTGCATGTACCTGTCTAATTTTCCCAACACCATTTATTAAAGAGACTGTCCTTGACTCCATTGTATGCTCTTGCCTCCTTTGTCAATATTAATTGAGCATAATAGCTTGGGGCAATTTCTGGGTTTTCTGTTCAGTTCCATTGGTCTGTATGTCTGTTCTTGTGCCAGTACCAGGCAGTTTTGAGAACCGTGGCTTGGAAATATAGCTTGATATCTGGTATTGTGATCCCTCCAACATTGTTCTTCTTAAGATTGCTACAGCTATTAGGGGTCTTTTTTTACTCTACATGAATTTTTGGAGAGTTTGTTCTAGATCTTTGAAGTATGCCATTGGTATTTTCCTGGGGATTGCATTGAATCTGTAGATTGCTTTGGGTAGTATGGACATTTTAATGATGTTGAGTCTACCAATCCATGAACACAGTATATTCTGCCATTTGTTTATGTCTACCTTTTTCTTCAACGTCCTGTAGTTTTCCGAGTACAGGTCTTTTACCTCCTTAGTTAAGTTTATCCTAGGTATCTTAATTTTTTTGGTGCAATGGTAAATGAGATTGTTTTTGGTTTCTCTTCCTGTGATTTCATTATTGGTGTATAAAAAGGCCATAGATTCTGGGTGTTAATTTTCTATCCAGCTCATTTTTGAATATATTTATTAAGTCTAGTGGCTTTTTTGATGGAGTCTTTAGGATTTTCTATGTATAATATCATGTCATCTGTGAATAATGATGGTTTTACTTCTTCTTTTCCAGTTTGGATGCCTTTTATTTCTTCTTCTTGTCTGACTGCTAAGGCTAGCCCTTCTAGTACTATGTCAAACAGGAGTGGTGAAAGTGGGAATCCCTGTCTTGTTCCTATTCTTAGGGGAAACGGTTTTACTTTTTGCCCATTGAGTATGATGTTGGCTGTAGGTTTGACATATACGACTCTTATTATGTTGAGGTATGATCCTTCTATTCCCACTTTGCTGAGAGTTTTTATCAAGAAAGGGTGTTGGATTTTGTCAAAATGCTTTTTCTGCATCAACTGATATGATTATGTGATTTTTGTCTCTCAATTTGTTTATGTGATGTATCACATTTATTGATTTTCAGATATTTTACCAGCCTTGCAGCCCCGGAGTAAATCACGCTTGGTCATGGTGTATGATCATAATGCTGGATCCGATTTGCTAGAATTTGGTTGAGGATTTTATCATCTATGTTCATCAGGGATATTGGCCTGTAATTCTCTTTCTTTGTAGTGTCTTTATCTGGATTTGGGATTAGGATAATACTGGCTAAGAGCGAAGTGTGCCGCCTTCCTCTTGAATTTTTTGGAATAATCTGAGGAGGATAGGTTTTAGTTCTTCTTTGAATGTTTGGTAAAACTCCCCTGTGAAGCCAGCCAAACCAGGGCTTTTGTTTGCTGGAAGTTTTTTGATTACTGCTTCAATTTCATCGGTAGTTATCGGCCTATTCAGGTTTGTTTTTTTTTATTCTTCCTGAGTTTTGAAAGACTTACATAAATCTTAAAGAAAAAGTTCTTTCCAAATCCAAGTGGCAAAGGCAAAATAAAAAAGTATTTTCCCCTAAATTCTCTTTTTTTAAATACAATTTTTATTGATTTCAGAGAGGAAGCGAGAGGGTATGAGTGATAGAAACATCAATGATGAGAGAGAATCATTGATCAGCTGCATCCTGCATGCCCCACAGTGGGGATTAAGTCTGCATGTGCCCTCTTAGGAATCGAACCATGACCTCCTGGTTCATAGGTTGATGATCAACTATTGAGCCACACCGACCAAGCTTCACTAAATTCTTACATTCTAGGCTAATGCCAAGTTAAGAAAATAATTCTGAATTAAGATAGTATCTGGGTACTTTAAAACAGAAAACTCAAAATTATTTTGTCCATTCAATGCAGTAGTGATCTGAGATAATTTTTTCTTAAAATACTAAGGTTAGATTTAGAATTTAGTTACAGGTTACATGATAAATATTCTACATTCTGGAAAGAAGTACCAAATTCTCTCAAAACACTATTATTCATTATTTTAATCTACTATCTATAATAATAAAAGCATAATATGCTAATTATACTGGACGCCCTTCCTTTTGGACAAAGCTGCAGTGGGCAGAGGCCTCCCCCCCCCCGCTACAGTGGCGGTGGGTGGGGGCCAGGGCCAAGTCACTTGCACAAATTTCGTGCTTTGGGCCTCTAACTGAAGTATAATTCTCCACAGCTTTTATATCAATAAATTCCACAGGAGCATATTATTTTCCACAAATATTGCATTAAACAGATATATAATCCTATTACACAAAAATACAACTTACAAATAATAATGGATTTAATTGATTTGTTTAAATAAATATTACTCAACATTCATTGACTAGGAATATTTATATTCACATATACTAATTATATTCTTAATTATTTATAGGACTGAAAGGACAACTGTCAGTCTTCATTGGAATAAACACCCTGAAGAAAGAATATGGGAAATCCTTTTGATTAGGAAAAAAGAGAGATTAAGAAAAATGGTTGAAAAAAAAAGAAAAAGAAAACAAACAAAAAAAGAAAGAAAAGAAAAATAGTTGAGAGTTGGTTTTGGGAAGTCATTTCTGAATTCATTACATTAGAAATTTCAACTTTCAATCATTTTCAAAATTCTGTATCTATGACTATGGTATATATTTTTAAATGAATAAAAAATAATTAAGGAATCAATAACCTTCAGGTTCAACAAATTTTTGTTTTTTATTCCTCACAAAATTCTCAATGAATTACTTACAAAATTTGTGGGAGTATAGATTACATGTGATGTGGAAGACTAATATTTCCTGTTAATATATATTTTACTGAATACATTATACATCATTAAAGAAAGCACCACTGCCCTAGCTAGTTTGGCTCAATAGATAGAGCATCGGCCTATGGACTGGAGGGTCCCAGGTTCGATTCCAGTCAAGGGCACATGCCCAGATTGTAGACTCGATCCCTAGTGGCAAGCATGCAGGAGGCAGACAATCAGTGATTCTCTCTCATCTTTGATGTTTCTATCTCTCTCCCTCTCCTTTCCTCTCTGAAATCAATTAAAAAAAAAAAAATATATATATATATAAACACTGCTAAGCACTCAATTTTCTTTTCTCTGCTGCCCAGGGCTTAACTAGTCTTGATTTTTTTTTTCCAATAAAAGGTGATCTTTCTGGGAGGGTATGTTCATATAGAAAATAGTATACATAATTCCCAGTAAATATACAACTGCAAAAATAAATTAATTCAAGGAATAGAAAGTGACATTATATTAAAGTATGGAATTGCCTCATGAGCAAAAACATTAAAAATTAAAACCTTTAAAATTCTTCAAAAATCTTGGGCTATACACAGCTCTCTTATGTAAAACATGAAAAGTATATTGTTATGGTAAATTATTACATATTGTTATTACAAATTATTTTATGCGTATTTGTAATTATGCTTATAAATATTATAAATTATTCACAAAAGCTTAAAATTGATGTAAATAAATTCACCTTTCCAAGCAAAGAAACTACCAATCATCTTCCCTGCCTAGTATCTACTGCCATATTGGCAAGATATCATCAGCCATTAGCCCTACCCCTTGAAAGTCAATCATTAATCATAACACTGTCCCTTCTTCTAAAATCTCTTATATTTCTAAAAAGTAATTTTTCCATAACTTCACCTCTGTTTAAACTGTTCCATGTGTTTCACTATATGTAACACAAATTATTAGAAAATAAAATTTTGCTCAACCTTAAAGCAGTTCTGTTACAACTTTTTTGAAAAAAGTCACACCAACCATAAACTTTTAAATTATAATTAATACTAAAAGCCAATACTCACAAAGAAGGATCTTGTACGAGATCTTTGAGATTTATCCCACTGCGATCTTCTGCAAGATTCCTGAAGCAACTATCACTCACTAAACAGGAAAGGGGGAAAGAAAAAGAAAATTAATTTTTGTTTACATTTCATTTAAATTACTGCTGACAAAATGAATTTTGAAATTAAAATTGTCTCTCATGATACAGTTTTTCCAAATAGCAATATTGGTCAATCTCTAAGCCTGGTATATTTAGCAACAAATATTAACACACAAACTTTATATAAAGTGCAGTATATAAAAGAGTAAACCTGTGAGTAAAAATTTTGTTATTTTTATAAAACTAATTTACCAGTACATAGTGGCAAGTTACTGCTTCCACAACAACTAGAAAAAAAGATAAATTATCTCCCCAAATCATATTTTTAAATATACTGAAAAGCAATGGTAGTAAAATAAATAAATTAAGAGAAAAGTAATATCTATTCTTAGGTAAATTTGGACTCTTGATTGCTTTCATTTCTGGGAGATTTGCCATTTATACACAAGCTAAGATTCAGAAAGAGTGACACCACCCAGGAAAAGAGAAACCAGTATAGCTCTTTATGGTTCATGCACTGGTATGACAGATTGGAACCTTTTGGATTTCTCCAAACACAGACAGTTTTCTCCTGGGAGATCTGTTGAGGACTTAGACTACACGAATAGACTGGGAAAGGACAGACTAAGCCAGAAATGTTTTCTGTAGTGTTATAGTGATTAGAAGTCAAAGTCACACTATAACAGTTAGCAACTATCACTTATAGTATAGAATTTCAACAGGTCTCCCCTCCAGACATTTGTTTTCAACCAAAAGCACCCTACCTTGAGAGGGGGGAATGAAAAAGAGGAGGCAAAACCCAAAAGTTAGAGCAATATCTCCCATAGTGTCACAGTTCATTAAGTATAGTCACACCAAAGAGAAATACATACAACAGAATAGGTCTTGCTTTTAAGACATTTAAAACCAGAGGTACGAGGTATATCTTAAGGTGTCACTCAAGTCACCCAGCTCAATTCATGGTTGAGTTAAGGTAATTAGCACTTCATCATTTCTTTCTAATATAGGCAAGAAAATAACATTTACATCAATCTTATTATCCTATGTAAACAGTATTTGGTATACAATAATAATTATGAAACATGGGAAGGGCCACAAAATATGATCAATAATAGAAAAAATAATACCTATAAGCTGACCTATACATGATACAGATTTTGAAGATAAACTTTTTAACAAAAGTTTAAGAAAACTGTTTAAAAAAAGTTAAAGAAGGCACAGAAAGTGTTCACAGAAGAAAAGAAGAAAAATTCAACAGGTAATTTAAATCTATGAAAAGAATTAAATATTGATTTTAGAACTGAACAATACCATATGTGAAATTGAGAAATCAGTGGGTAAGTTTTATAGCTGACTCAACACTGCAAAAGACAGGCTAGTGAACTTGAAGAGATCAGCAGAAAATATCTAACTAAAGCACAGAGAGAGAAAAAAAATGAGAAAAAGAAAACATAAAAGACATGTGGGAATCAAACAACCCAACGTAACTGTAGTTGAGAAGAGGAGAGAGAATGAGGATGAAGTAATATTTTCAGAAAAAAAAAAGCTAAGAATACACCAAAACTGAAACTATACATTAACTCACTGACTCAGGAAGTATAGCCAAGCCAAGAATGGAAAAAATGAAAGAAAATCACATCCAGCAGTAAAATGGCTGAAAATTAAGTAAAAAAAGAAAACCTTAAATACAGCTAGGGGAGAAAAAGGACACATCACCATCAAACCACCAAAGGAAAAGCAAAACTTACAGCTGAGTATTCAACATAAACTATGGAACCCAGAAGACAATGGAATGACATGTTTAAAATGCTGGGTGACGGAGGAGAATCTGAGAATCTAAAAATCTATATCTTGATAAAATATTTATCCTAAAATTAAAGGCAAAATAAAGCTTTATATAATACTAGACGCCTGGTGCATGAAATTCGTGCATGGGAGGGGGGGGTCCCTCAGCCCGGCCTGCACCCTCTCCAATCCGGGAACCCTCGGGGAATGTCCAACTGCCAGCAGTCAGACATCCCCCTCACAATCTGAAACCGCTGGCTCCTAACTGCTCACCTGCCTGCCTGTCTGATTACCCCTAACCACTCTGACTGCCTGCCTCATTGCCCCTAACCCCTCTGCCTGCCTGCCTGATCGCATCTAACTGCCTCTGCCTGCCTGCCTGATGCCCCTAACTGCTCCCCTGCCAGCCTGATCACCCCTAACTGCTCTACTCTGCCGACCTGATCGCCCCTAACCACCTCTGCCTGCATGCCTGATCGCCCCTAACCGCCTCTGCCTGCCTTCCTGATCCCCCCTAACCACCTCTGCCTGCCTGCCTGATGTCCCTAACCACGCTCCCCTGCTGGCTTGATTGCCACTAACCGCTCTCCTTTGCCAGCCTGATTGCCCCAACTACTCCCCCCTGCCAGTCTGATAGCTCCTAACCACTCTGCCTGCCTGCCTGATCGCCCCTAACTGCCTTTGCCTTGGCCGCACCACCATGGCTTTGTACAGAAAGATGTCTGGAAGGACGCCTAGAAGACGTCTGGTCTATCCAGTCTAATTAGCATATTACCCTTTTATTAGTATAGATTTTATATTAGGTAAGCATAAATATTAAGTGATTATTTTCTATTTCAAGTTAAATATATACGTAGATACATATATATGAGCCATTTATAATCTACATAAAAAGAACAATATAACATTAAAAATATTTAAAGTTGAAAAAGGTTTGAATTCTTATTAATTACCCTCAAAATCCTCATGTTTTTTGCAATGAGTAAGTGATTTTAATTAATATATAATTTTTATTCCATATTTAATAGACACTGATCTGAATCTGTTGATTTGAGACAAATTTTCTGCTTTTCATAACTTTAACAAAAATGTTCTTTATTATACCATTAAATGAGTAAGACCAAAAAAGGAAATGTTGGCAAATTTTAAGAAAAGTTGGTTTTCAGCTGAGCTGAACTAAAATTGAAAGTATAATAATGCATTATATTATAAAATTTGTTCTCATAAAGTTTCTTGCCCAATTTGGCAAATGCAAGTGCTTAGTTATAAACATTAGGAGCCTGTCGGTTTGGTAGGCTTAATTAAAATGGAATAAACCTTTGATCCTTTAAAGGCTTGCTAGTCAGCTATCTGTGAAATGAGTTTTGCTAAAAAAGGCCCTTTTCTAAAATTCATGTCACATCCTTACATTAAGTTAAAAACAGCAAGAAATCTAGAGAAATCGTTTCTTAACAAAAATTCTGAAACTCTGGCTGCCTAATAAAATAAAATTTTTAGTTATAATTTTTTTCACCAATGCAACAAATATTATTTCTGAATTATAAATAAGATATGGTACATTTTAATTAGGAAGTGAACATACTTTTTCATGTGTAAATCACACAAAATCAAAGGTCAGATAAAACAGAAGAGATTACAATAGAAACATAGTCACAAACTTTATGGCAGTACCATGAAAATTATAAATGTGCATATCAATTTTGTTTATATTAACATAACTTGAAGGGTAACAAAGGAAAATTAATAACAAATGTTTGTAAAATGCATTTTTTAGCAAAATTCTTATGCAACCACATGCATTTTTTTTCTATAAATGTTCATTTTTTGGACCAATAATCAAGATATGCTAAGTATTTCATATTCAACATCTCACTTAATCTTCATAATTATCCAGTGATATACCTATTATTTGTATCCCCCTTTTACAGGTAGTAAACTAAGAGAGATTAAGCATCTACAGATCATATATTTAATGAATAGCAGTACTGGGAGAATCCAGACCCTAAAATTCCAAAGCCTGCACTCTTAACCACTATGTCATACTGATGATAGTTCTCATTGATTTCTCATATATTCTGGATTCTCATGCAGAATATATGAAAAACTTTCCATAACTTTAAAACAAATACAAGACAATTAAAATTAAAGTTTTCAAAAGTTGAATGAAACTTTAGGGGATCTTCTAGTTAAGTGGTTAGTTAACTGCACTTCATATCTCATGGGTTCTATGGCAGTATTTCAGATTAATGACGTCCTTTGTCCTCTTCAGCTAAAGAACTCTAATTTTGTTTTACATATTATATTGATTCAAAAATTACTAGGAGAAATTTTACTAAAGAAAATTTTACAGAAGCTGAAACACACACACATACATACACACCTTAGAACCGTATTACTTCTACTCTCTATTTAGATGAGAATCACGATTTGCCTTCGGTCAACAAAAGTCAGCATTCAAACTCAATATAAACTTAAATATTTGTAAAATGGACCTGCAGCAGGGTTCTTAGCTTATCGTAAGTACCTTTTTCTGTATATTAATCTTTCTGGTTAAGGTAACAGTTGACATTCATTATGTGCTAAAAGCACTTCACATTCATTTTCTCACTTGTAACAAGTATAATATAGTATTCTACATAATTGATATAATCCTATGTAATAAAAGGCTAATATGCAAATAGACTGGAACTGAACAACCGAACAACCAGGGGGCGTGTGCAGAACATGGAAGGCTTTGCCACAGAGGGATGGTGGAGCAGGTGAGTGGAGGCACCAGACCAAGGTGGGGCGCTGGTCTCTGTCATCGGGGTGAGCCTCTGGTGGTTACTGAAAATTCTTTGCTCCTGTGTGCCGCAGTGCCCTGCGCCGGGCCTGATCACTCAGTACCAACAGCGGGTGTTAGCGGAGGCTGCTGGTCCTGATCGCCCTGGAGGGCTTCTCTACCTTCCTCTGCTCCTGAGGGGTGATTGGGGCAGCAGCCGCCACTCCCACCCACTGATAGCACCGACCCCACTTGCACCCGCTGCTTGCGCCGGCCCCAATTGCTCTGCACCATCAGCAGGTGCGAGTGGGGCCGGCACCATTAGCGCATGGGAGCAGTGACAGTGGGAGTGGGGCTGCCAAGAGACAGGGGACTGGGGGCCGTGGTGGGAGGGGCTAGGCAGGGGCGCAGAGGATGGGCCGAGACCCACCCCTGTACCTACCACTGCCTCAT